TTTGGCTGCCAAGTGACATTGGTAGGGCACCAAGGGCCGCCCATCCAATTGGTCAAAGGTCTCCATCTCTAGTCCAAGCTCTGCGGTCAATTCCCGCAAATACTCTGCGCAGCGCAATTCCTTGCTGCTGAATCCGTAGCGCTTCCATGTGGAGGAGCCAAAACGCTCGTCTGGACAGGGACACCAAACGGACAGGGACGCTCGTCTGACTCGTCTGAGCTGTGCAAACACTTATATTTACAATCACTAGTGTTGCAGCGACATGACAAAACATCGTTATCTCCCTGGTGGAGCTACAGTGTCTGGTTCTACGGGGCTGGCCAATTCCAAACAACCGACACAAACATCGTTTTTAAGACCCCTGACCATCCATTATAACTCAAAAAGCACACTGTTGGGTGGTGGGTTTGTTGCAACCTGAGGCACTGTAAATGGTGATGACATCCGGCTCATCAGGCTTTGCCGGAAGCAGCGGTGGACCTCGACGGAAGTTTTGTAAAGCCAGAATGATGTAGAAGTTCTCATCCACGACGCGCATTTGTTTCAGTCCAGGCCGATCTTTATAATATTGAATTGCCTTGGCATGTTCACTTCGGATAGTTCAATGAAATACTGGTCATGACCCCTGAAGTTCATCTGCCGCATGAGCAGCAAACAAAATGTAGCCAAATACCATTTGACATGATTATTATCGTTTTTGGTGGGGCCCATATCGTTCTCCAATGTTTCTCCAAATCGTAGTGAGCATAGCATACCGGCACATAGACGGAAACACAAAATAGTACACACAATATAACTCACAACCTCAAATTAGAGGCTTACAGTGCTTTCTGCACAGGATTGGTACAGCACTTGATTTATGCACTTGGGTTCTTGTGGCACTGGGTCACAACACATAAGCGGGGACCTAGTAGCTCGGCCCATGAACAAACACTAGTAATGTGGAGAAGTAGGTCTGCAAAGTGCCTGGAATGGCATTTAGGTTATCGTTCGCTTATCGTTTGGGAAGTTGTCTGGGACTATCACCATGAAAAGTTGTGCCCATCAGTTTAGCTCATGTATGCTCAAAAAAAACATGCAAATACAATGACATTTTGCAACCACAAACGTCTTTGTACCCACTACATCTTAACAAGATTATCGTTTTTGGCCGGGACCATATCGCTTTCCACAGAAACAAAGCCCTCAACATAGGTTTAGGGTCATACCGTGACTAAATAAGTCCAATAATTTGGTCCGTCGCTCACATGATTGTGTCCCTCCACACCGCAATCTCTTGGGATCAGGTAAAACAACAGCGCAACATGGTGGAACCCGCGCAACAACGGCGCGGAACACGACCTTCGCCACTGGAACACGACTGGCGGCCTGCCCCCTTCGACTGCGGCACCCCGTAGGCGGTCTGGGCCATCATTCTGAAGAAGGGCGAGGCCCACGTGGCCCACGCGTCCATCGGTGTGCTATACACATGCACCACTTGGAAGGTTTCACCTCGGTTTCCACCAACGGATCGATGGGTGCATCCCAAACGGGGTGCACCGACGCGAGGGACCTGGACCGAGGCATATCGGAGGCAGGGGTGAAGCACGAGGAAGTCGGTCAGTCGACCGCAGAATGCACTGAAGTGCAGTGATGTCGTATTTGCGTGTAAGAGATTGTGGGACTATGTGGGATTCTGGACACCAAAGGGTTGTGAGGCAACACGCCCTGGATGAAAGCATCCACACTGCCCGCACCAGAAAGTCATAGCAAGTCCCAAGTTGCCGTCATCTTCCTTCCGCCAAATCATCATGCTCTCGAACCCCTCGTTTTCTAGGAAGATCGCATACGTGCCTGCAGCTCAAGCAGCAAATTACATAAGGCTTCTCGAGCGGCCAAATACGTCTTTTCCGCTTGGGCTCGTGGTTTCTCTGTGTTTTGAAGTTCCTACAGCAGCCGCAAACAAAATAACATTTTAACAAATTTCAGCTGATTTCAACTGGAATGACTGAATCTGCCCTCGCACTCAGAGGACTTTGCAATACCATCACCCCACAACCGTTTCAAGCAAAATTGCCGGGGACCCGAACATACGCGGTCGAAACACCGTTTCCGGCGCAGCAGGATAGAGAAACCCTTCGCACGACGTAGCAGTAGACGTAGCAAACGAAGAAGTGTCGGGGATCGGTCGTCCGTCTCGCTTCGACCCGGTCTAGTGACTGGTCACATGACTGGCCACGGCGTGGTGTTTCAAAAAGACGACTGGCCACTGAAGAGGAAAGAACTTCCATCCCAAAGTTGCTGATCCTGCGGGTCTATAAGCACCCTCTTAGATCTATAATGATCTATAGTTGGAGTCTGTTAGTTAGTATTTTAATATAGTTTAATGTGTTTTAAGACGTTATGAGTTGGGCAAGCACACGCAAGCACCCATTCCTGACGATCAATGAACTTTCCGAGCGATTTTAGGTTGCGGGTCAGTATTGTTTGAGTCCTGTCGAGTCAACGACGATATGGGTTGGGTCTATCCCACTACCTGTAACAGTGGATGATGATGGTTCGTCAAGGCCTTGCTCAAGAATAGAGATAATTGTTTACTGACTGTTACAGGTAATGGGACAAACCCAAGATATGGGCACCTTTCGAGCCTTGAGATACCGATCAATGTGGTGCAGTCCATCTGACGGGTCTGATGGATTTCCTAAACACATCTGCAGGTCACCTGCGTGCTGTACTCAAACATGAATGCGGCTTTCTTTTGTTGCAATGTCTGCACTCAGGTTGTGCGTGGAGTTTTCCCACAGCATACGGCATTGATGTCGCCCAGTTGCTATCGCCTTTTTCAGGGAAGTTTTTGCGGCACTGATGTCGCGCCAAAACGGGCTTGTTGCTGTAGAGGAAGTCGTTCAAAGAAGGCCCGACAAAATCACCAAAAAGCAAGGCCAGCGTACCTCGGAGCTAGCATGCGACCATCACCGCCTGGATCCAAACGACACCATCACGACTGGGGTATGAATGTAGGAGTCCCTCAAAACATACCATTTTTGTCTTTAGCAACTCTATCATTATCTATCATCGTGCACGAATTCAATGATTTCTGAAAGAGTGGTGGGTGGGAAGTGTCATAAACGACATTGAAACTCATTAATGGTAGGCCATCAGGAGAAACATGGAGAAACCATGTCAGGTGGTTTTGATTGCTTCACCGCTGACGACGCGCATGGTGGTCGACTGGTCCACTTCGAGCTACGATGGAAGACATGGCTGCTTGATTGCTCCACCAAAGAGTCGCCAGGTGCGAATGTCTTGATCCTGACAGCATCTGGCAGGGAGATGCAGGGAGTGCGGGTAAATCTCAAGTGCCAAAGCATTTGGGCCTAAAAACCACCACAAAATGGCAACATGCCAAGCATGACACGTGACACCGCTTGTCGGTTGCATCATGTTGCAGCGGTGTCATCTCTGACAGTTGGTGTCATTTCTTTTGACGTGTCATTTGGGTTCATCTGGCAGTACAATTAAGTATATATAGTGATACTCTCTGTCATGAGAATGATTGTCTCCGAATTGATGCGGGATGGGAACCTGGAGTATGGAACTAGACCACGTAGCTAGTAGCAGCCATGACCTAGGCAAAGGACCCGCACGGTGACCGCCAAGCATCGTCAAGATATTCACTGCAATCTGTCGGTTAATAAACGCCCCTTTTCATATATATATATATGGGGTGTTTATTTATTCAGAGTCTGGGTTAACAGCCCGTGAGTCGGCGTTAACAGCCCGAAGCCGTGAGTCCAGCGATGGGTTCGGAGTTCACGTGGTCAGCCTGGTCCCACAAAGGTCTCTCCTCCCGAGATGGTGTTGCGGAGCTCGTGACCCGACATCCCCCGCCCTGCGACCATCCCCCGCCCTCGCGCCAGCGAACGGACATGCCATCCATGTAGCGATCGTGCATCTGTCCGCTCACCTCGGGCCTCACCATGACCTGATGGTAGCATCTGTCCGCGTTACTAGGAGCGATCGGACGCTACTTGTTCGGCATCGGCCACCGTCGATCCGACGCAGCCACTCGTCTAAAGCGGAGCACGGGGGGTGTTCAAATGCAGCTGATCCCGGGTGCACTCTCGACCTACCTTCATTCCCCAAAGCAGCAAAGGTACCAATAGTAAAATCCAAGTCTTGGCTGGATTCCACTGCCACACCAAAGTGAGCCAAAGAAATAACAGGAAATAACATCATCAGGGAACACTCAAAACCCCCTACAACCAAACAACTAAAAGAAAAAACATGACGTTGCTGAGTATGGCACTATCTGGTCTGCACGTCAGCAAACGCCTGATTCTTCCAACAAAAGGACCAAAACTCTTGGCACAATCCAAGTGACATCAGATGAGTTCTCAGGTGTGTCACAAAGGCTCAAGTTCCGGAACACGAACTTCACCAAATGGCCACGAGGACCAGGCCGATGAAATAAATGGGCTCCGGAGTGGGAGCCCGCCAGCTCCTGAGTCTCATCACAGTAGTCACTGCTAGCCTGATGGCATAGCATGCCATGGCTAATGTGATTTTGCCATGCTCCCAGCCCCTTCCGCTGAATCAATTGATACCTTCCGCATCCATCCGCTGACCTCAAACAAAGGGACGCATCGATTGAACGCCCAGATGCCCAGTTTGATTCGGAGATGTTCTCTGCTGCCATGCTGAGCCATGCATTGATCCTCTCCGTTGTTGCCACCATGGAGTTGCAGCTTGTTTGAGCTGTGGCAGTGGCTGCAGGCTGATGAGCACACATCCCGGAATTCCAATCACGCAACAGTGGTGTGGGAACCTTCTTCGTCACGAACTCAATGCTTTTCAGAATCCGCCCAAGGCAAATTAATCAATGTAGACTCATTAGTAAAGCCCCCCTAATGTCCAAATTCGGTGTGTGTGTGTTTGTGTGCGCGAATGTTTTTATAATAGAGTCTACAGTCTACATGATGTTCGGCACAATGTCAAAGTCTGCCACCTGAGGTCTCAACCAAGGAGGTGGCCGACGCGACCCAAACCAATCCAGTGTCAACGAAGGTCTGGTCGTCCACAGAGTAGTAAATGGGGTAAGTACCTGCCGGATGAGGCAAGCCAGTCCCTACGTACAAGTGGCCAGTGGGAACCCATGTCAGCGAGCAATCGCAAGATAATGTCACCGCAGGGCTCATCTAAACAATAAGAGACGCAGGTGGCCACAACCAAATGAGCAACCCTGTCACTAAGCTAGCCAAAATGGAACTGAAGTCAACAAAAAATTGCCCCTCAAGTCAGCATTGGTTGTTCCCATAGGCCGATGTTCGAGCTTCAGGCTGGCTCATATCATCCACCGCCAAAAAGTCGGCTCTTCTCGGCTTGACTGGCCATAAACTGGGGTAGCGGCCTGACTGGTTCGTCGTAGGGAATGGTCAGACATCCCTCCAACAAAAAACAAACCAACACACCCATTCTGTGAAGGTTCCTTCGTGTTCCTTCCATTTCATTGCCCAAATTCTGGGGAAAACCCAAAACAAGCCTCCGGATGATCACCTTCTAGCACCCTCTGCCGAACTCCTTGACACTCTCCATCAGTTCCTCCGCCCTATCGGCCCATGGCGCCTGGCTCCGCCTGCTCAGGTGCCATCGCGCGAAGTGTTTCGGCCGTGGACAAGGCCGCTGAGACCTGGCGGCGTGGTCTGGCGCCGGAGAGGGTGAACAATGTTCTTTCGAGTTGCTACTGTAATAGCGATGACCTCCAACCTAAGAGCGATGGCCTCCAACATACGAGCGACAGACTCCAACCTAACAGAAATGACCTCCAACCCAAGAGCGATGACCTCCAACCTAAGAGCGATGACCTCCAACCTAAGAGCGATGACCTCCAACCTAAGAGCGATGACCTCCAACCTAAAAGCGATAGCCTCCAACCTAACAGCGATGACCTCCAACTTACGACCGATAGCCTCCAACCTAACAGCGATGACCTCCAACCTAAGAGCGATGGCCTCCAACATACGAGCGACAGACTCCAACCTAACAGAAGTGACCTCCAACCCAAGAGCGATGACCTCCAACCTAAGAGCGATGACCTCCAACCTAAGAGCGATGACCTCCAACCTAAGAGCGATGACCTCCA